TTTTTAAAAGCATAATATTTTCAATTGTTCAAGAAAAAAGTGCTACATTACAAATTATTGGTTTGCCAAAAACATGTAATGTCAATTTGACATATTCAACAATTAAAATGGCTGAATAAGTCAAATTGTTGTTAGATATGCTCACTTACCCATCTGCTAAGTAAAATATTAACAATCTTGAAAATTACAGTATCCAGTGTGGTATTAAAACACTATTCAGCTTACGAGTTGCTATTGCTGAATTGTGTAGTATTAGTAGAATATTGAAGTAATGTGTGTTTGCTTCCATACATATTTGCATATTTTCTAGACTGTTTTCATAATTTGCAAAACGAAAATCAAATAAGAAAGAAAAGATTTTTTTTTTTTAGCTTTTTAAACTGTTTTGTTTTTTTTTTTTATTATCATTGTTTATTACAGGTTTTGTTTTTTCTTCTCTCATCGCCCTTCATACATATATTTTTTAATTTAATTATTATTTTTTTAAAAGTTTGAAATTTTCTTGTCTGTTTAATTTTTTTTTTATATAATAATACTATTTAATAACATTATACTTATTAAATTATCATTATCATAGGACTCCATTTTGTATTTCTGCTCCATTTTATTTTGTTTGCGTTTTATATATATTTGTTTGTTTATGTATTTATTGTACACTTATGAATTTTTTTAATAATATATAATTTAATTTTTTATTTTTTTTTATTTTGTATTTAATTATTTACAACAATTACGATTAGAATATATAATATCTTAATTATTATTAAAAATAATTTTTTTCTTTTAATTTTATTATTTTTGATGTCATAAATGATTTATTTTTTTTTTTAAATTTCTTTGAAATATTTTGAATTTTTTCTCCTATTGAAGTTATTTTTTTATGCAGTATATGTTTGTTTTTTTTTATATATCAAAATTCTTAAAAATAATTTACAAGTACATATTCATATATGTATATCGCCCCGATTGCTTTTACAAAAGAGTTACAATTACAAAATTGCATTTTGTTAATTTTAAATCAACAAATCGAACAAAACTGGGGCGAACATTTAGTATAACTATTTTTGAGTAAATCAAGTTTAAATTTATTTTTGATTTTTTTGCAGAAAAATTTTGTTGATTATGTAATTAAAAACTTTGTTGTTAACATTATATGTACCTCAAAGTAAAATTAAAAAAAATTTGCTAATTAATTTCACTTTTCTTTGTTTACAGAACTTGTACTTCTCTTAGATGTAAAATTAATAATATTGTAGTATAAAAGTATGCCCGCTAACAGCCAGCAATATAATATTTTTGCAAATTTATAATCTATACATTCTTAATGTAGGAATTCTAAATTGAGAATAAAAATATAACAAATGCTGCCGTTATTATTAAATCCGATTTTTGTTTTCCAAAATTTTACATCGTTTTTCTTTTAGACGATAAAATTCTAAAATTTTAACAATTCTAGAAATTAGTAATTGTTTTTTTTTTTTGAGAATAAAATTTCTCACTTTTAAAATTATTCTTTTTTCTAAAATTATCGTCTGTTAGAACAAAATCTAAATTTTTTGGGATAATTATTTTTTTCTAATTTGTATACTTTTTCTAAATATCAATCAAAGCTGAAAATTGACAACAAATTGTCTTTCCATTTCATCAAAAAGTAATTTTTTATCTGACATCACCTTATTAGTAATTGAATTTATTTATTGTCTTAACATTTTTTTTTTTAAATATTGTTCTCATCCCAAAAATATGCAATAATTGCTCTTTGCGTAACATAATTTTGATTTATTAATAAGAATAATTTAGGTAACAGTTACAAAAGATTGTTATTTTTATAAAAAGTATTTTCACTTGTTCAATGAGTAATATGGTAAATGTGCTGCTGTATCAATAATTTGTTTTTTAAAGGGCATTTAATAAATAAATAAAGAAATTTTTTTTGAATATATAATTTTGCTGCACCTTAGGAATTTTTTGAAATTGAATTACTATTTTTTTTTAATTATAAATTTTGAATAGTCACTGACGTGTAAATATTTTGAACTAAATTAACTAAAATGAAATATATGTTTGCTCCTAAATCATTAGCCTGATCCACAATAATTTTTACCTTACAAAATTACCTTTTTTTTGCTCTATTCAATTTAATATTCAATAATTTGGAATTATTCTGATTTTTTTAATATTAAAACGAGTTTTTGAGTTCTCATAACGTTGTTAAAGCAATCGTGGGATATAATTGATAAAATTATACAAAATTACTATTTTATATACACATATACATATATTATAATTTAAATATAAATTACTTAAAAACTAAAATGAAAAAAAAAAAAATAAGAAATAAATAATTAAAAAAAAAATATTAAATATTAAAATTTTGACAGTCAACCAAATTAAATAAAAAAAAAAAAAATTAAAACAAAAAGAATTTTTTTTTTTGTGTTTTAAAATTTTTTTCTTTCCTAAACTTTTATTCATAATATAAATTTTGATATTTTAATTAATTTAATTTTAACGAATTAATTATGAAAAACAAAAATTAACATTTACGAATACATGTATATCTAAATGTCATATTGTATACATATGTCATTTATGTCATTTTTATTAAAATGTCAATAAATTATACAAAATATATAAAATCGCGTGAAATATCACATAGCTATTTTGAACAAAAAAAAAAAAATAAAAAACTACAAATAGTATGAATAAAATTTTATAAAATTTTTAAAAAAATAAATTATAATTTTATATAATATTCAATAATTATCCTGTTTCTTGTTTTTCTTACATTTCTAAATAAAATGATTATTGAATGCTTAATATACATATATAGGAATAAAATATTTAAAAATAGAATTTAGAAAAAATTATTTACAGAAAAAATTTACTTAATTTTATTTCATTTTTTTTATTCATCTTTAATAAATTTAAAACTCTTATATTTCTATTACATTTTGAAAGTTAACTATTTTTTTATTTATTTACTTATATTTTGGCATAAAAATTTTTTTTTCTTTTTATCAATACTTTTGTAGATGAAATTTTTGGAAAATTATTTATTTTAATCACATATTATGACGGAAATATGTATGTATGTGTATATATACTCAATCCAAACTTGAGTGTCGCCCAGCTTCGAAGCCAATTTTTTATTCAAATATTAATTTTTATTAAAAATCACATAAAATTTTGTTGATATTCTCACATAATTATTGAAAACTTAAATGAATAATTTTACTTAAGTGCGTTTCTTTTTTAAAACAAAATCTAATTATAAAATTTTACTCATATAATTTCTCTCGTATATTTCAAAAAAGAATCATACTTGTAAAGTTCCTTCACGAAACAAAAATTAGAAAAAACGAGAAAAAAAAGAGTTGACTTTGTCAACTCTGTGATACCCATATGAATTTATTATCCTATGTGCGAATAAATATGTAGCTGACTATGGAACAGACTATGACTTTCAGTTGCCATATTACATTAATTTATGCAAAATTTCAATAAGATGTTTTCAATATTTTCTTAGATATGGCAAAACTACTGTTGAAGTTGTATGATAGATACCAGAAGGAGGCAAGCAATTTCAACGACTTTTATCAAATACATTGGCCCTACTGATATATGTGGCCAAATAATTTTTGAAGTTGTATGGTAGCTACTAGGAGGAGCTAAGCAATTTCAATAATTTTTATTAGACATATTGGCCTTACTAATATATTTACTTGTGTAAAATTTCAATACCACAGTTTTTTTAGTTTCTGAGATATAGCCAATTAAATTTTGAAGTTGTAGGTAGTTGTATGGTAAACTAGTACCCCGAACATATCCATATTAAATAGGGTTCTGGCATTTACCATAAATTTTCACAAATTATCATAGCTCAATTAGTTTTTAGTTTAGTTATCGTTAAGACGGACGGACAGAAAAAGCTAAATCGACTCACAATTCAATACTGATCAAAAACATACACTTGAGTCTATATCTCAGACCGTTATTTGTTAGCGTTAAAAACGGTAAGGCAAAATTTAGTATACCCTTCGAACGTACGTTCGTACGGGTATAAAAAAACAGCTCATTATAAGCTTGATTATTTGTCATTCATCGTGGCTAGTTTTAAAATAATTTGATTAAAAAAAAGTCTAATTTAGTCAGCACATATGAGGAAAAATGTAAATTTGATCCGCAAAAAGTTGCAGTTCAGGAGACCTGATATATACCAAAGGTTGATCACTTCGTGACATAGCCAAAAAAGAAACTTACATATAGAATTTCATTATAATCGAATAGTTTATTTACGCTTCCCTTTCATGCAGATTGGAGAAATGCCTTTCCACCGAAAATTATACAAAATTTGTTACCGTCACATAAACTCCATTATTGCGTGATATTTTCTTTTCTATTGTCGCCCAATTTATAGGAGAGAAAATTCATTAATGTAGCCTGTTTATTTAAGATTAGACAGATGGCTGTTTAAAATTTTATAATTAATGTTAAAATGTTAAAACTGTACATTATATAATGTTAATTAAATGTTAAGTTCTAAAATGTTTCTTAATGTGTTTATCATATTTATAAGAAAATATGTTTGGAGGCGACATACGAGTACTAAAAATTATATTTAAAATTTTATATAAAATTTACAATTTTATTTTGTCATTTTCTCAACAAATATTAAAAATTTTCTGAAGCGACTGTTATCAAAATTAGTAAAAATGTCACAAAATGTCAATAACTGTCATATTAGAGGATATCACAAAATAATATGTAAATCGTAATATATAATATGTATGCATACGTAGGATTGAATTGTCAAAACTTTCATTTACAAATAGTTGTTCTTCATTTTCTCATAAATGTTATACAAGTATAAAATAATTATTAAAATTATTTTTAAAACTTAAATAATAAACATTTTATATAATATGTATGTATGTATGTAGTTATTTAAATACTATAATGATTTTTTTTTAAATTTATTTTATTTTCTTTTTAAATTTCTTTTAATGAAATTTTTTGTTCAGTCATATGAGAATAATTTTTTTTTTGCATTTTATTGAATTAAAAAGTATAGATGTCTTAAATATTTTTATTTATTTTTTTTATATTATACAAATATATATGTAAACGTCAGAATAATATTTTATAAATTTTAAATTAAATAAAATTATATAGCTATAATTAAAATTTTATGAATGAGATTTTTTAATCATTACATGTACAATAAAATATTTTACAAAAAAAAAAAATAAAAAAATTATAATTAATATTTTATTTATAAAATTTTTAAATAATAAAAATTCATTTAAATAAAATCAATCACCCTTTGTCGCTATATTTTAATATTTTTTTTTGCATTATTACAGTTATATATAATTTTTTTTTATTATTATTATTTTCTCTTTTATCTTCTCTTTTATTTTTTTTCTTTTATTATTCATTTTTATTTTGTGTTTTTATTGGTTTTTTAATATAATTTTTAAATTCTTGACTAATGTTGCTAAACTCGCCGCGGTTCATTTTGTACACCATATTCGGCATTAATTAATGACTGACATTGAGTTCTTGATTTTTTACTTAAAAAAACCGATATACAATACCATATTGATAATGTTAGAGCGCATGCGATAACAGCTGCTATTAAAGCTAATAATAATGTAAAATCATCACTAGTTGTAAATGATTTACCATATAGGTTTGTATACATTTTAAGACTATGTGCATCATCACTCATTTGTATTCTACAGAAATAACGTCCATAATGATGAGTTTTAACACTTGGTATAATTAAGTATGATCCAATGATTTGGCCAGTATTTCTGGATTTTTTTTTTGTAAATTATAAGAAAAAATTTTATATTAAATTTTTGTATACAATTATTGAGTATTAAATATATATTTAAATTTAAATTTGTAAGTCATGAGAAGTGGCGCATTGTACAAAAAAAAAAAAAAAAAAAAAATTTTTTTTTTTGGTTTATTCTTATTTCGAATAACAAACTTAGGACTTATTTTAGAACGCAATTTAATAAGAATTAAATAATGTTTAAAATGCCTATATTCCGAACGATAAATAGATTAAAAACTTGACCTGAAAATTCAACGCAAGAGTTATTATACGCCTGATGAGTTCTGAGACTGAAATTTAGCTTAAGCTTGAAACAAGATCTTATAAAATTTTAATAAAGTTTTATCTGAAAATTGTTTAATATAACAATAATATTTTTAAAGTATATTTTAGTTTTTTTTTTATACAATAGAGCAAATTTAGATCTATCAAAAAAAAGATCAGCGTTCGTTTTTATGCTGAGAGAGTTCAGAGCTAAAAATTCGTCTTGGTTGTTATTTCACATTTAACAGAGCTCATAATATGTAAACCTATACTATAGTAATATTTAGTTGCAATGGCAGCTTTTCAATAAAAATGTTTATAATAAAAAATATGATTTATATATTTGACATTATAAAGAATTAAATTATTATTTACCTTTCCAATTGCTGTTGTATACCTTCAGCTTCTTCCTCTTTATTATCAGATAGAACTTTAAACCATTTAATTTCATTTTTAGCATCTGGTAAATTAACTTTACCAACAAATGCTTCACAATAGAATCGAGCTTGTTGATCTAAATCGATTTCTTGATCGCCAGGCTTATATGTTTCCAAAGGTAAATTTGGATTGTTAGCTGTAAATATTAAAAAAAAAAAAACAAAATGAAAATGAAAATTTATTTAAAAATAATTATTACTATATTACATATATATTCATTATTCATTATATAGTACATTCATTATTCAAAATATGTGTAGTACATTTTTATTGTAATAAAAAGTTAATAATTATGTTAATGTGTTTGAAAGTATCAGTAAATCAGGGTAATAATATTTTTAGCGGAAATAACAACGTTATTTAAATTTCATGTAACAATTTTAAAAAAAATTTTTAAAAATGCGTCATAGGATTGGAGAGTTTGTTCCAGTAGATTTTTAGCATAATTATGGCTATCTTAGTAGTGGTGGGAACTGGCCTACAATAGTTTTTTTCTTTACATTTGCTTTGCTGGAATTTATTATCGAATGTTATAGGGGTAATTAGTTTCATATAAATTTTTTATTTGAATTGTTTTATTTTAAGCTATATAAAATTGTATGTAATTTTTATAGCATCCCGACCGGATTTCGAACCCGAAACCCTTCAGTTAAATGATCGCTGCCACAATAAATGAACCATTGGTCAGATATAATAAGTTTATATAACGAAACAATGTTGGTTTGCTGTTAAATAAGTTCGTTTGACGTAGTCGGTGATAACGGAAGAAAATTGTGGGAAAATAGATACATACATATATGTATATCAAATTTCAATAAAGTTAATTTCTTGTAAAAATTCAAATTAATAGTATTTTGAAAAACGTAACATCAACGTTATAGTAAAATTGTATATCTTACGAAAACTCTTTATAACATTTAATTTTAAATTTTGAAGGGTATATGACGGTAATTTTCAATTATATGTCGAAGATTTGACAATAACATTCATTACGTCACCCTCAAGGATTTTGCCATAATGACAATTCTTGAATTAGGAATATTGGAATTTCATTTATCAGTTATGCCATTACCTTTTAAGAATATGTAAAAATTAAGCTTAAATTATCGTTAATTGCATTTGCAATTTATATACATTGGGATTTATGACTTCTCCGTTATAACGCCTTTAAATTAATTATTAACATTAATTGTAAGGTTTTGATATATTTGAACATGCCTTGTCATTGAGGTTGTCATTGGTTTATCCTTTACGAATTATTACTATTTTAAAAGTAGGACTAATTTGTATTTAATTCATTGCGGAGAATTTAGAAGAAGACAATTATACTTTATTTTTTATTTTTGAAATTTTACAAATTTTTTGTATTAATTAAAAATTCTTTTAGTGCACTTTATTGGCCATTAATTTTTCTCAGTAAATACTTAAATGAGTTTTTAAAATTATTTTTAATAATAAATATTTTTTTTTTAATTCAATAAATTCATGTGTTTACACAATACATTTGTATGTATGTTTGTCTTTGAATAAAGTATTTATATGCATATGTTTTTATTGTGTGAGTTTATGAAATAAAATTATATAATTAAATTATTAAAAATAAATATGAAAATTAAATAATTTTTTTTTAAATAAAATTATAGCTTTCCTGAGAATTTAAAATTGGAATTTTTGAATTTTAATTAATCAAATAATTTAAGAGAATCCGATTATGTACATTTAGTTTTAAATATAATTTATATTAACATATGCATAACATATATGTATATATGTACGATATGTGCACATTGCCGTAATATTGTGCTATGATCAAAATTCAACAATTGTGAAGTAATTAAGTATTGACAAATATTTAAAATGACTTCAAAATTGCACTTATATCGTATAAAAACATAATTCAGCTTTCAAATTATATTCGAAGTAAGTAAATTTTCGAAGTACACTTAAGTTCATGCGGTATTGAAAGCCAAATGTTGAGATAAACTGAAATTTAATTGTTATAATTAGAGATTTAAATGCAAACAAAATGAAAAGCGCAAAGCGAAAGAGAATAAAATAAAGTTTTGTCAAACCAATGGTTTGTATTGTAGCACTTTTCCCTTCAACAAATGAAAATTCTGCTTTTAAATACAGTCTATGTATAGCTATCACACTATTAAAATTATTTTCATTCATATACAAAACTATTTCTAGGATTGCATATATTTAGGATGAGGCATATATGCAGTCTTTGAAATAAAGCAAAAATTAATATAAAAAGGGGTTAACATAATGCTCGATTTTAAGGGTTAATTGTGTGAGTTAAGAAAAATAATTATATTTTTTAATTTCACGGAATTTACCGTTAGCTTTCTGCGTTTATAAAAATTTGGAAAAGCTTGCGGTTTCGGAAATATAAGGTGTCAAAAATTCAAATTTTACGAATTTCAAGAGGTGATACCTTGAGAGGGGTTGGAGATGGAAAAAAATTTTCTGCTAACAAAATGAATTATTTATTAATATCTAAAAGCCCGTAAAATTTCAAGCTTCTACAGTCTGGGGTCTAGAAGAAAAACGACATCAAAAATTTGGAAAAAAAGGACTTTAAATAACGGTAAATTTGAGCGGCCATTTTGTTTTTCTTAAGTTGAACTATAGTATACCGCGCAAGGGGAAGCAAGCCACTGCCTTTCTGCGTTTGCAAAATTTCAAAAATGCTTATGGTTTCATTGCAACAAATATTTAAAAAAGGCCATTTTTAGGGTTTTGGGGGGGTATAACTTCTAGAGGGGGGGAGATAGGTAAAAATTTTGTTCTACGGAAATAAGTTTCTAGTGAAGATCTATGTACGCATTAAATTTCAGCTTTCTATCTTCAAAGGTGTAGAAGTTTTGTAAACAGACACACGGACAGACGGACGGACGGACGGACGGACGGACAGAGTGAAACTAATAAGCACTTTTTTCAAAAAATTTTTTGGAAAAGTGCTAAAAAGAGTAGTAATATTTTTTTTGTTTTTTTGCTTTACTACCATAAACAAAAATAAAAAGCAAAAGGAAGCGAAATATTTTAAATGAGTTAAGTAAGAGTAAAATAATTTTTTGTTGTTGTATTTAACATGGAATGGAATTAAAAAAAATAAAACTAAAAATTGTGAGAGATATAAGAACACGAATAACGTTACGTTACGTACTTATCTAGATAACGTTGTTTATAAGGAAATTTTTCGTTCTTAATTGTTAACTAATTCTTAAATTGAATTTTAATCATATCTATGTAATTAACAGTGACACATATTACATCTTAAAATTTATTAAATTAAAAATATTTCCATTACTTTTATTTATCATTAGTATTCAAACCAATATGATATTTAGGCATATACAAGTATATACCTGCATATGTATGCCATAATATGTACAAATTTTTCTAAACTTATTTTAAAATTGATTGCCACAATCCTGTTTTTACAACAGATAATGCTGCTTATAAGCAAACCACAGGGGCCCCTAGTATATTATTAGTTAAATAAATGAATGTGCGTCATTCAAATTCATTTTATTGTCATCAAGAGTATACAGAAGCTTTTTTGTTGAAAAACTTGTTCTAACTATAACTTTTGTCGTCATATTTGCTTAATCTTATTATATAATAACATAGGATATAAAATATATCGTTTATTTTATACTTCTTATATGATGCGTATATCTGACTTTTATACTCATATATAATATACTTATGTGTATATACTGAAATTTTTTTCTTCTAAAAATTTTTTGTGATAGTTTCACTATATTGAATAACTATATTCTAAATATTTACCCGTTCAAAAAATAAATAAATTTACATACATCTTTTGATGAAAGCTTATGCTAGTGTAGATGATCTTTAGTATAATATGCTTGTAGATATTTTTACATATATATTACATATATAAAAAGGTATGACATTAAAATAATATGTTAATTTAAATTTTCACCTTGAATAAAAAGACGTAAGGCGTAAAATTGTTGGAAACATAAAAAAATAATTGAAATGACAAAATTTTGCTAAGGGTCCGTAATAAAAAGAAAAAGTTTTTTTTTTTCTGTGATTCATAATATAGATTATAGATGATGAGTAAGTATATAAGATGAGACATTGCATTTTTTAAGAATAAAAGACTAATTTTGAAATTTTATTATTTGTTTTTTTAACCAGAAGTTGTCGAGTATTTAGCATTGAGAAAGAAGGAGTAGAAGATGGGATTTGAATCTTTTCCGTTCAGTAGAAATTCAGAAATTTTTGATGGATTACAATTTTAGATTAACATTAAATTGATATTGAATATTTCATTATTCGGCATATTGACTTACAATTAACTAGTAACAGTTTAAAATTTTTTAGGTTTTTCTGCAAATTGACGAGGTCCATAATCGAAAACTTAAACCAAAAACATTTATTTTTTTATAATCTCCTTTGTTGTATACAATGCGGTCAGTAAAAAAGGAATTTTGGTGAACAAATTCCCTAAACCGTATATATATATAGAATATACTAAACTAAACCGTTTATGTATATATAGATTCACCATATTATATAATATTAATGTATGCTAATATAATGTACATCCATACGCTTCAGTACTTACTTGTCACTTGTAATTCAATATTATGCTCTCTAACATGTGTATCATTCTTTAGTACGCATTTATAATTACCACTGTCTGTTAATTGAATGTGCCTCGAATAAATTGTTTGATTTGCAGCTTCTGGATATAATATCAAAGATGACATTTCTGATGGCCATGGATATGGTCTACCATCTTTAAACCTTAAATTAAAAAAAATTATAATTAATGTAAATATAGATATTTCATATTTATAAAATAAAAAGAATTAATTGTTAATTTAATTTTTAAATAACTGAAAAATTAATTCATTTTTATCTGTATGAATTGATAATGCAATTTAATAACATTTACTTATAACAAAATTTTAAAACAATAATTATATTATTACTATAAAATTTAATCGTAATTATAGTCGCTATAATACGTATATTAAGATTAATTAATAATATATAAATTATATATTATATTGGATTTATAGTTAAATTCAATTTAAATGGTATAATTGACCTATTTAAACACATGTATGATATGTCAAGGATTCAAAGTGTCTATGTACATACATATTGAGTGAATTTTGATTATTGAAATCAAAACAGAACTTACAGAGGTGCATTAATGAGAGATACCATATGATATTCTCTGGGCCATTAAGATAAACATTTGCACAACAATAAGAGAGACACCATTTTTAAACGATTGTCCTACATTTTTCTAAGTCATTGAAGAATAAAATTTGGTATAAAATAAAATTTGCAGTACTCTATTTTTCTCAATAACTTCTAAACCAGAAATGGAACGGAGATGACCCATATACCAAATTAAAGGTAAATAGACAAGGTTGCCAGCTGTGCTAAAATTGGAGAAAGCTTCTATGTTACATCAATTATATAAAATTAACTATTATTTAAAAATGAAAGGTTAAATTTTCAAATGTTTTGATTTTTAAAGTAATGTTATTCCGAAATCTAAACAGATTATAAAAAATGTACACATTCATTAGAAAGCCCTTATTCTGAAATTTGCAAACTATATTTAATAATACAATTGTCTCTCATAAGCACGGAGTTATACTTAAAATTTTAAAAAATAATCAGTCGAAATTTATTTTAAGCTCCTGTAACTCTGAACCTGTTGATCTGTGAACATGATCTCCATACAAAAGTTTTATCTACTCATGAGGGGCTATACAATGGTATATAGCAGTGCACTTTGATACGAGACACCCTGTATATACATATGCTATATATGATTTTGATCAACATATACGTATATTCATACCTGTAGTTTATACATACACGCTATAGTTTGGGGTCATAGGATTTTTTTTATTTTTGTTACATATACATAAGTTTGTATATTTCGGTTCGCATTCGGTTAGACCGGTAATTTTATTTTAAAATATTCTAGTACTAATTTAAAATTTTATTAGTAATACTCTGTTAATAATTGTATGTATAATGAGCTATGCATTTCAAACTGCGAAACTTTTTCGGTATAACTTCATACCCTATTTGAAAAGCATGAAATTTTACCTTGAATATTTTTTTAATTTCATTTGATGGCTAATTTTCTTAGTTGAAACTATGCCTCTAAATTTACATATGGATTATGGATACATTAATATACATATATCTACATTATATTCTATATAGACCATCAATATGTCTAATATCTTAACCACTACTAATATCTCTTTTTACTTTCATTTTCTTATAGACCCTTGTCTACACTGTTTCTATATAGAAATTCATACACATTGTATATATACATACATTAAATCAAATTTATTAAATTATTATAAAAAGATTCCTATATACTGTATGGTATAATTATGTATGACGATTTCAGATTGCGTGCCAATAATGTAATAATATTTTCAATTCATAAAATACTTGAATTAATTTATTATAAGATATTAACTATTATATTCCATTCTATTAAATAATTTCTTTGAATTAATTATAAAATAAAAAGCAACAGATTAAATGGCAAAATAATATGCAAAATGAAAAAATCCAACACACTGTGTTAAACCCGTTAGTTAAAAGATAAAAAAACAAAAAATAAAAATCGCGAAACAGGAAATTATTTAAAATGAAAACAGCAAAAATTACAAAAAAAAACATATTCAAGCGTTTTTAACGTGTAATTTTAAGGTGTTCACATTAAGCTCAACATACACATATAATTTTATTGTATACCAACAGATGGGTTTTAAAGTTTTATGATATGACAGCTACACATATACAATAATAATATCAAATTACATGCCTTTAATATAGAATATAATCCGAATGCATTATTAAAATGTGTAAAAATAATCTTATGAGTAAAAATGATATAAGCTACTTTTTTTTTTAACTTTTAATTTGCATATCAAATGAGTTTTTATTATGAATTTATAAACTGTTAATTCCAATGTAAAAATAAATATTTATTTTTGTAATATGTATAACAATATATGTAGGTGTATAGTAAGTGCATAAGTGTATTAATAAAATTTTAAGTATTAAAAGTAGAAGGATTCCTTCAAAGGGTGAATAATTACAAAAAAACATATTCGCAATGATATGAAAATGATTATACCATATAAGGTTTCGAATTACAAAATAAAATAAACAAAATATGAACATTTATAATACATACGTTATGTAAAAAATTTTATAATAAAGTATTCTCTGCATATATGTATGCAGGCCCGGTTCTAAATTGTTTGGCGCTCTACACACGCTTTCCAAAAAGTGCGCCTTCTCACACTTTCAAAGCTATGAATAATATACAATAAACATTGCATATTGGGCATAATAATTACGTTCTTGTTTTTGATAACTGCACTAATTGCATATGCTAACTTTGCATATATGATAGAACTGGCGCTGTATGTATATGTTAATAGAATATAATATTCATACCCAATACTTTGTGTATATAAATATGTGGGGTATTATACAATAACTCCGAAGGAATTAAATAGTTTCAAAAAGAAAAATTTGTATACACATAAATTGAAAATTATTGATTTGATTAAAATGAAAAAAAAAAAAAAACAAAGAGTAAAAATATTTAAAATTTTATTTGAAATTCATGTAAAATTCAATTAGTATATTTTAATTTTGAACGTTTATTTGTGAGTCATATCTTTCAGAAAGGCTTTTTAATCTGATAATGACTAAATATAGACTATGGGACATTGCAAGTACATATTAAAATTATTTTATTATTATAGTACATATTAAAATATTAATTATTTAATATAACAAAAAATTGATGCCATGAAACTTAATTATGTTAAAAAAATTATTGAAATCTGACAAAAATATTGTAAATAATTGTAAATTCATATATCCAATTAAAATAAAACCAATTAAATATTAGGAAAAAATAGATTTAAATAAATTATTCTATTCTGGAATTGGAGGAAATTTTCTAGAAAATGTAAAATGTTCTATTTCTTTTTAGTTTTAATAAGTAAATTGGAACAAAATTTTATTAAACTGAAAGATATACATAAATTAATTGAATTTTTCTCATTTGTAATACTTCTTGTATATTTTCTTTACTTGCGATGGTATAGCTGCCATACAAAGTCGAAAGTCATTTGGTCACAGATTATGTGGAAACTATTGAAATTACAGTGCTGAAATATTATGCATAAACGAATATGGTAATATAACAATAATTTTTTTTTTGGATAAAAGTCTTTGAAATTCTATGCGTATATTTGATAACTGTCATATATGTATAAGAGCGCTATAAATATAAATATATCCAGGAGTACGTGTAAAATGGTACGTCAATTAATATGCAGTCGTAACTTAATTGAGACCGTGAACTCCTACTTACTCTCGTTTTCTAATATTTTTATATAAATTTCACATATTTCTATAATATAATCTAAAATTAATTAAATTTATTTTTAAATTTAATATAAGGTTTACGAAAAAGACTAAATTTTATATTGAATTTTAAAAATTCTTTTTCGAAATTCAATCATTTTTTATTTTTTCTGTTTTGAAATGGTTTTTTCTCTTTCTAAATTTTTCTAAAGGGATTTTCCCAATTACGCCTTTACTTAAAAAAACTGGAAAAATAGATTTTAAGTTTCAATTTACAAAAAAAACTTTATAAAAAATTCACAATAGAAACACAAAAACGAAAAGCTTAAATTTTGAATGATTTTTGAAATGCCGTAATAAAATTTATACGAGTGTTACTCATCATTAAGATGATGAAATTAGTATAAAAAAAAATTTAACTATGATAGTGTTCGTAACTAAGATTATGAAATAAATTGTAGACAAAAAAAATAATAATAATAATAAACGAAAAAGAAAATAATAAGATAATCAGAGTTTTTATTAGATGAGATTTGGGTATAGAAAAATTATGACTAATCGGTAATTTTTTTAATTTCTCTAAATTACGTTACAAATTACTTGTAACATTTTATTATTTCAGATAATATTTAATTCAATACAGTTGTTTTACTTAAAATTATAAAAAATTTACGTCATTCTGCACGTTACAGAAATATTGAAAGATTATGTGTGGTTTTAATAATAAAGTAAATTTCAAATTCATGTAAAAGCTTTTAAAGCTTTCAATATACCGACCATACACCGAATATTGATTTGAAATACATACAAGATCAATTAGTTCTATGGATTTGAAAAAATAAATAGCGCATCGATAACTTCATCAAATTTAATAGATTAATTTTTGTGCAATAGAAAATTTTAAATATAATAGTGACCAAAGAACTTATTTACTGCAAAGATTTCTTGCCGTTCTTATCGCTTCTTGGCATTGTTATGCACACCATATATACGTATTTTATACAAATTAAATTCTCATTATCTGCTGACTACTAATTTCTTGGAATTTTTTCTCAAATTATGATTGCAAACAACGCCATTATCTATGTTATTTAGTGCGATTTATAATTTAAAAAATTTTCACTTTCAACACATTCTAGACATATTGTTTATATGTCTGGGCATAATTGAATGTAAATACATATATTGATAGATCATTCATATTTGATTTTTCATCCCTTATACTTATTGTAATTTTGAAAACAATTGAAACATATCGAATATAATTTGCCAATTTCAATATTATTCTAATAATAATATGATAAAGTAATTATGCTGAATATTATACAAGTGTATTAAAAGTATACCTTCTGATCTATAATCTG